AATAAAACACTTCATAATAAAGATCTAACTAACAGATATAAACAGACACCTAATAAAACAGTCGTAGTTTCTCAATATGAATGGCAAAAATTTTGCAAATTCACTTAAACTCAGTTTAGGAAAATCATTCTGATATGAGAATCTCTCTAATTATTGAAATGCTCCCACCTCTAGATTTCACACTCGAAACATCAATCATAAGATTTTCTATCCGTGCTTTAGATGACTTACATTATCTTGATCAACTTCTCTGATTATATCTTCAAGAAAAACATCCGTCATGTTATGTTCAGTACATGCTTGCTGAAGCTCATCAACTGTAATGTAACCACTTCCATCCTTGTCAAAGTATTGGAATGCTGCAACAAGATGCTCCTCACGTTCTAATTTGTTAAGATGAACCGTTGCAGCGATAAATTCACCATAATCTATGGTTCCACTGTTGTCTACGTCAGCCTGAAAATGGCAAGCAGCACAGTCAGTATGAACATAAATTATTAAATTAGGCATAAAATTAAACAGGATGCAGAACCAATAGGCCATTGGTTGGAGTTTAATACAAACTTAAGGTAAGTAGTGAAGGCCACTCTCGGGCCATAAATAAATAGTCATATTCTTAACTGCTTTTGCACTATACATGTTAAAAGACAATAGAATGCTTCAGAATTCTAGAGAATAATAGTAAGAGAAGCAAGGAGTTCTCTTTCCCACGTGTTTTGACAAGTACACAAAACAACTTAATTCAGCTGCTTGCAAGGCAACCAAATACGGTTCAGCAGTCAACAAATATATTTTCTCAAGCCCAGGCAAGAATCATAATTTGTCAGTTCGATTGAATGAACCATTGACTCCATTGATAAACATATAAAATGGGCAACAATAATGAAAAATGATTATTGATGCATTCCACCTAATGGGCTTGCAAAGGGTGCACATGTTCACACATCCAGTAGGTTACATAAATATAGACTTTGAAGCAAATGTATACCGCATCCATAAGGTCACGTATCTCTGTATCTTTCATTGTAGAGCCATATCTTCGCAAACCAGCTTTGAGTTCATCAAATGTTATTGCACCACTATTATCAGTATCCATTGCCGTGAACATTTCCCTCAAACCAGCAATCTCCTCCTCAGAAAGACTTTCAGCTATCACCTGATATCATGAATTTTGCAAATAGTTCTCATCAAAAGAAGGTAAAATTTCCGGATCAACAAAGGAGCATATAAATGACAACATGCAAAATAAAATGGGTCCTGCATATGAATGATGAAAAAATAAAAAAGGAACAACATACGATGCTCTTGCTCAGTGTTTAATAAATGATAAATGTTCTTCCTTTTGTAAGTCAAATGATGCGCCCTGCAGAGCAGCCAATAAAGCAAGCAAATGCATATATACATATACATACAAATGATATGTACTTGCATATATATATATATGTGTATACACGTGTGTGTAGGTGTTAGATGGGAGAGAGGGAGAGAGAGAGAGAGCAGCTAAAACAAAATGCAAATAATATATTTTTCTTAATAGAAAATAATGCAGGGAAGGGAGATGAAATCCAAGGTGTTTGCCCAAATTGAGAAATGCACTTAACACCAGACAGCCTGCAGGTGCAAGTTCATATATAAATATATGAATAAATATAAATGTGTGTGCATACATGTGTATGCAAGTATGCAAACGCAATATTATGGGTTTGACTTACCCGTAAAGCCATCTTCTTCAATTTATTCATTGCAGAGAACTGTTTGAGACGTGAAAGTACAGCAGGATCCAGTGCTCTATCTGGTGCAACTCCATTTTCACAAATCCATGGATGACCTGAAAATGATAAAGTAATGTTTATAGCATATTCACAAAGCTACTTATATTTTAGGAGAAAACTAATTCATTGATCCTTTTACTTTCGTACTCTTTGCATATGGAAGGATGCATGAACGATGAGAATATTTTCGTTATATTCACAAAGCTACTTATATTTGAAAGCTAACAAACGAAAGAATATTTTCGTTGACAACGATTCAAAATGTGTGAATTAAAACCAAAAGAGACAAGGCAGAGAAGACAATAAAGTCAACACAGTGAATTACCACTTAAGGCCATGTTTGGAACAAATGAAGAATTCTGGTGGAATTCATTTGGAAATCCATGTTTAGTTCAACAACAAGAGGATGAAAGTTTAACCCCGAAATGATTAAAATTCAACTCCAAGAAAATTCCAAGTGGCACTAGAACGACATATTCCAAATTATCCATTAAAATCTATTACATTTCAGAATTCCATGAATTTTGACGGAAATTCAAATTTATTGTTTGATTTTACATGGACTTCATTTGGAAATGAATTTTAATTCTCTTGAAACAAAATTTTTCATTTTCTCATGATTAAATTAAGTGGGAACGTTTTAAGTAAATTCAACAGAAGTAGTTATTTATATTCCAAATATAGCCTAAACATTTTAAAGGTTCTCATTGTTAAAAAATAGCAAAAATATATGATCAAAGTCACATTAGTTTGTCATACGTATCCACCAGCAATAAGGTGTAATGCGAGAACTAAAATTTAGTATGTAGCTAATGTCGGGGGATCATGAAACATTGATAAAATACTAAACCAACTGATCTATAAATCTGTTTAGTGTGAAGAAACTTAAGAAGCTTTGCACATCCTTCAAAAGGTCAACCTACCACCTAAAGTCACATTTGCAGTGATAATAACGTGAAGCAAGGATATGAAGCTGAGAAAGGTTGAATCCTTAAATTCAGATACATTAGTTAGTCCATATCAATCTCAAAATTACAAATAAATAGGAGCTCATACATACATAATACTTCATGAGCAGTCAGCCGCTCTGAAGGCCGGGAGCATAACATCCTTCGGATGAGGTCTTTTGCACTCTCAGATATTAAGGGCCATGGATCTGACTCAAAATCAATATGTCCCTTCAACACCGCGTCAAATATTCCCTGCTGAGTTTCTGAATTCAAAAATATAAAACTTCCAATCATTGCAGTTATAAACAAAAATTCATTTTGGCATCACACTTATTCTCTAATTAGTATACTCTGAAGATAGAAAGAAAGAAACTCGATCAAGTGTTAAATACCTGCCCAAAATGGTGGCACTCCACTAAGCAATATATACAAGATGACCCCTGCAGTCCATACATCTGCTTCTGGCCCATAATGCTTAAGAAGAACTTCTGGTGCAACGTAATATGGACTTCCAACCACATCAGTGAAAACTTGACCTTACGTAGCACAGGACATAAAGTTAAAGAGAAGCAAGCATCAGAAAAATAGTTGGCTTTATCAACTGCAGAAAAGATTATGCATGCTCTAAATTAAGACATGCTAAAAACGGATTTTGGTCCATATCTATAATCATTAAGAGAAGGAAAGATTTCATCATGAAGCAGGTCAATTATCCTAACTGCCCACAATTTAATAGGATGAAAGCCAAAAAAACAGAATGTGAAATTGATTTTATCCAAATAGCAGGGGCTGCTGTATTATATGTTAATGCAAGAAATATTTTTACAAGTGTAGTAACTAGGATGAGTGTTTTAGCTGCCCAAACTCTTAATTTAAAATAAAGAAAGCCAAATAGCTGGCATAAGGTTTACCTGGTTTGAAGAAGACAGAAAGGCCAAAATCAATGGCTTTGAGCGAGAAATCATCATCCTTGTTAACCAACAAGAAATTCTCAGGCTTCAAATCTCTATGCATGACCCCAAGTGAGTGGCAAGCCTCAACAACCCCAACGATAATTCTTGTCAACTCAGCTGCTTTCCTTTCTGTGTAATGCCCCCGCTGAATGATCCGATCAAACAGCTCACCTCCTGCACAGAGCTCCATGACAATGTGAACATAGAGAGGATCCTCGTAGGCACCCTTTATTGTGACAATGTTCTTGTGACCTGCCAAATGATGCATTATCTGAATCTCCCTCCGGACGTCATCCACATCCTCCTTGGAGATTAACTTCCTCTTGGATATAGACTTACAAGCATACTCAATGCCCGTTGAAATCTCAGTACATAAATACGTAGTTCCAAATTGTCCTTGTCCTAATTTACGGCCTAAGGTGTAAAGATCACGAATATTAGCAGTCCTATGACCAAGAACATAATAAGCTTGGTTATCAACACCGCGTCTCATGACGGCCTCTTTCCTGGGACTGACGAGGGGCAAATTATTATCCTTGTTGGGATTTTCCTTGGAGAATTCTTGGGCAATAAGCTGTTGGGCATTCAAGGTAGAAGGGGAATGGTCAGTACTTGAACGATCAGAGGAGCCGTTGCGTTTGGAAGTAGAGGTACAAGTGGAATTCTCTTCGGGCTGATTGTAGCCCTGGTAAATCTTCCCCTTGAAAGATCCACGGCAAGTGTTGCCCATCAAACAATAAGCAAGTTATTTTACTCCCTTTTCCTCATCCAATGGTTTTTCATCAATTACACTGAGGATAAACAAGAATGTCAACAGAAAATATCAGACCAAAATCCCACAAACAGGAAAGAAGAAATGACAAATTTTAGTAAGCAAAAAAGAAAGAAAAAGTGACCAATATCAGATCACGTACACACAAATGATTTCTTCCACTAATTTTGCAGGAAAGCATAAAAGAAAAGCTCCGAATACAAGTTAATGGAGTCAGCAGTTAGGATGTAACTCGAGCAATTAATGATGATCCTAGAAAGCAATCAATATAATCCCAAACAAATCAAGTAAGAAATGGAAGAGATGAAAACAGGTCGAAAGAAAGAAGAAGAGATTACATACATAGACACGCGCGGGCATACACATACACAGATACATGCATTAATTCGAAGAGAATAAGAAAAGAAGCAGGGAGAGATGGATCTAGTACCTGCAAGAATTTGGTTGCAGAAATGTAGAAATGGATTAGGAATCTGAAAAAAAAATATATATATATATATATAAATTTGGGGGAAGCTAAAGTCGAAGATGAAGAAAGAAGAAAAGGATATTCAATTTAGAAAATTGTTGATGGTTTTGGTACTGCTCAGAGTGCTGACCAGCTAACTCTCTCTCTTCCTCTTTTATGATTATTTTGTTTTATTTTCTAAATTGCAAACGCGTTTTTGGTGAATAATCCAACGGTGAAGATTGCAAGAAAATTGAAAAAAAAAAAAAAAAAAAAAGGAAATTACCAGAGGAGAGAGCGTTGACCCGAAAGGAGGTAGGGGGAGAGGAAGAGAGTAAAAATCGAGGGTAAATTTAGTTTTCTTAAATAAACATTTACTGGGTTTCAATTTTTTTTAGGTTTGTTTGTTTGTTTGGTCAACACAATACAGCTATGGTAAATTTAGGCTGCCATATTTAGACCCTCTTTCTCTTTTTGTTCTCTTCTTCATCTTGGAGATTAAAAAGACAAAAAAGGCTTTTTATTTAATTGTCAATTTATCATAGTTGCTGGTTTGGTCCCATTCATTAAATTTCTTCTTTTAGTTTTTAGTTGGACTTGTAAAAAACATTCAAAACCCAAAAATAAAATTTCATTTCATTTCATTTCTTTGACTGAGAAAATAAAATATTTTGCATAACCTCTCAACCTTCAGAGCTATTTGTATATACTAATATCATCAACATGTGTGAAATAACTAAAACTAAAAAAATTTTATATAAACCAATGGTCCCATCTTACTATGTTTTAACTCTTCTTATAGAAGAAACACAGTGTAATTATTTATACAATTTTTTTTTTTTTTTTTTTAATTTGGGTTTGAAAAACTCTCTTTATAAAATAAAATGTACTAAAAGAAATTATTTTTTAAAAATATCAAAATGTCTTTTTATAGATTCAACTCTCCATTCTTTTTTTTTTTTTTTTTACGATCGTCTCAAACTCTACACACTATTTAAAATAAGAAAAATTAATTTAAAATTTTAATGTATTTTTTTTAATATTTAATAAACTGACGACTAATTCATCAAAAAATAGAGATTTGTCTCCAAACAAAGTAATTTCACCATATGAAGCTAACATTTTTCGTCGTCAAACTATTTTATGTCAAGCCACTTTGAAGCTTGACCTCTATCAATTTCTCCAGTTCTGTCAGGTCAAATTATCATTTTCTTTTTTTTGTTTATATGTTGATAATTGTCTCTCTTTATTGATGATTTTGAATTACAATCATCAATCACTTGTTACTTTACTATCAGAAAATGTTCTTTCATAGTCTCTCTCTTGTCTTTTTTCATGTTTAAGCAAAAAATAACACTCACTTGACATTAAAGTATAATTTCATTTTCGAGCAACAAAGATCAATTTTTTTGTTTAATTTCTAGCATCCATTTGTTTTAGAAAGTGAAAAGATTACCTTATAATATAAGTTTATGTTAGAAATGTAATACTCAGGCCCGAGATTAATTTTAAAGTTTAAAAAAATGTATAAAAATATAATTTTTAAATTTATAAATTTTGTTTAATGTAAAATTAGAAAAAAAAAAATAGGTTGATGATGAAATTGAAAATAATTTTGAGAAAAATAGGTGAAAATTTGGGGTCGGATAGTATTTTTAAAAGAAAAATCAAAAATTGGGGATCAAAATACAATTAAAAAAATTGCGCCATGTAAGACTGCCCAGTCAGCAGCCCCGACGAACCAAAGTGCGCCTCGTAGCAAGGCACGCTGACTCGGTATCACGCGGGTGGCACGCTGGTAATTTGCGTGTCTGCGATCGGACGATCCGGATGCATTCCCACGTACGTGGACGGTCCTGATCTATTCCTTCCTCAGGTGCGATTAGACGGTCACGATTAAGCACAATGAACGGTTTAGATTTATTCTCTCTTTAAACGCGATTGTACGGTCGAGATCAAATCGAGATGAACGATCTAAATTTATTTCTTCTTTAAATGCGATCGGACGGTCGAGATCAAACGCGATGAACGGTCTAAATTTAAGAGAGACAGGTATAAATATCTCATATCACACCAAACTCAAACCCTAGCCGCCAGCCTCCCGCCGGAGAAGAAGAATAAATCGTCAGAGAATGGAGCCGACTGCCGCCCACCGCTGCGTCGGAGCCACCTCCGACCGCCAAAAAAAGTAAAAATTCTCCTATCCGCTCTGAATTTAATTTCAAACACCCCCATGGTCAAATCGAAGCAAAAGAAACGGCGAATAAGCCATAAATCGCGGGTAAAACCCAGTAGCACCACTGCGGGTAAAACCAAAAAATCATCTCTGATGAGCCCCTTCTCGTTTTTCGTTTCGTGCGATTCTGTTTTTTACAAGTTGACCGAAGAAAAACACCCAGTCGTGAAAGTGAGCCGGAGAGGCTCGTCGCACCGAAAAATTTCACCGCTGGTAAGTTTTTATTTTTTGACTTTTTCGGCCAACCAAGGTCCTCTAACGTATTTTCTTGCAGAGATGGGTATAAAATTGGTCGAAATTGGCCAAAACTGGCTGGAAACGACCTGTCCAAGTCAAACTACCACCTTTGGCAGCGTTGCCATCGTCGGAGCACGGCAGTGCTGTCGTGTCGGAATTCTGAAATTGTCTAGAAAAGGTTTTTAATGCTGATTTTGAATTTTTTGGGGTATTTTTATCTACGTAAAGTGTGTTTCAATCTCATCAGGAAAATTCAAAAAATTCAGAGACCACCAGTAGGCACAGTAGAAAGTTCAATGTTTCGGACATCGATTCGGGTAAGAATCTCTCACCTTATTCACTGTTATGGAATTGAAGTTTAATTATCAATAATACGGTATTTTGTGTAATTTAAAAAATTTCAAGAATTAATTACAGGTTACTAATAGAGTCAGAACCGGTTATTTATTATTGTTTGCCCTGTTAACCGATTGTTTAATTTTACAGCTTTAAATGCATGATAATATACTGAAATTGGTAAAATGATTCAGTTGTGTTTCTTTGATGCATATATTGTTTGTCTTGGCATTGATTTATGGTTAAATTGTGAAATTAAAAATTAAATGTAAACGAAAAATTAATTGGTTTAGTGAATAAATGAATGGTAACTTTACTGGATATTCTGGGAGATAGTGGACAGACGGAGTACATAGGGAACCCTACCGTGAACGTCGCCTCATACTGGACGAAGTATTGAGAATTGGTATTTTTGACACTCATACCGGACGGTGTATAGGAATGGCCCGTTTCACCCTCATACCAGACGGGGTATGCGGATGGCCTGTTTCACCCTCATACCGGATAGGATATTGAGCGATGATATTCTTGGTGCTCAAACCGGACGAGATATGAGGACGGGCGGTTAGTTGAAAATGTTGAATAATGGTTCACACGTAGTGGGACATCCCTATGGGCCCCCCATGGATGCCAATAGGCAAATAAAAAGGCAAGGTTGTTATTCTTACTTACTTAAATATGAGATTATTATGTTATTGAGTTATTGTCTCTATAGTTCAGGTTTAGAAATCTCGCAACGGTACATATGCAATAAATAATTTTACTTATGATAAATGAATTTACTTAAATTAAGAGTTCCATTGATTGTTTTTATGATTTTTACCAACTTTCAGTTTCTTTATCGGTGAGTAGTGTGATATTCTTACTGAGCTAGTGTAGCTCACCCCTTCATTAACTATTTCAGATCAAGAGGATCAAGATCTAGATCTCGATCAACAAGGGAGTGGTGAATAGTTCACTACTCGGATTCCTTCAAAAGCTAGTGAAGGTTGTCCTAGGATGCTGAGTTGTTTACTTTTCGTTTATTTCTTTGATTTTCGTTTGTTCGTTTAGAATGGACATTTTCATAGCCTTATTGGGTATTTTAAACTATTATGTAAAGAATGTAAGCCCTAACTCTATTATTCTGCTTCCGTATTCAATTTATAATTTTATTTTTTTTTAAGTTCTGGGCTGTTAGAGTTGGTATCGGATATGCGTTCCTCGAAATCATTCCTTACACAAAGACTTAAAAGCACCAAATATGAATTATTATTCAACCCTTCTTTGTGAAAAATAAGTACAAAGATACGAGAAGATGAGGTCCCTTACTGAACAGGGTAGCCCAAGATGGGTCATTTCGAGAGGATGTCGATCAGCTCTTCGAGATTTTAAAGAGACTCATCTCTGCCCAGTAGGCCAGATAAGAGGATAGGGAACTGTCTGACCCACTACCACTTCCACAATATGAGTCACTCCTACAACGAGAGGATCTAATGCCACCTCGATGCAACCCTACTCCTCCGTCATATCATCCGACACCATCACAAATACAATTTAGAGCCCCCACCGTATCATCCAACACCGTTACAGGGCCACTTGGTCCCTCCCCAACAACATCTGACCCCTCTTCCACGGGACTCGGTTTCACCCATGATGGACCTAATAGAGATTGACACAGGGGACCCTGATGTATTTCTAAGAATGAACTGGTTAGCGACGTATCACGCCACCATTGATTATTTTCATGAGAAAAGTTGTATTTAAGTCTCCTAACAAAGAGTTATTTACAAGATAATAAAGGCTTTGAATATTATTCCCTCATAGTAATTTCCTTATTACATAACACTTTAGCTTGGTTGTTTTCTCTAATTAGGCAAACCTAAGAAAGAAATATACATTTTAGAGATCTTGATAGTCTAAGACTTTTCGAATGTGTTTCCTAATGAACTTTTTAGACTACCAGTAGACAGGGAAGTTAAGTTCACTATATACCTTCAGCCTGACACGCAACCTATCTTAGTTTCTCCTTACTGCATGAGTCATGTAGAGATGAAAGAGTTAAAAAAATAAATCAAGAAATTACATGATAGAGGGTTCATCCGATACAGTATTTCTCATTGGGACGCTGGAGTCACATTTGCAAGGAAATAAGAAGCGACGTCAGGATCATGTATTGACTACAGGGGATTTAACAGGGTCGCGATCTAAAACAAATATCTTTTCCCAAGGATCGATGACCTTTTTGATCAATTGTAGGGTACCCAGGTCTTCTCCAAAATAGACCTACATTCAGGTTATCATTAGGTAAAGATCAAGGCAGAAGACATTTCTAAAATAACTTTTCAAACTAGGTA